TTATTCTCACTTTCACCGTAATTTTAAGAAAAATAAAATTTAATAAATTATTAAATACAAAGAAATTAATGAATTTTAAACTCGATTTTAATGCCATATTCGTGTGAAGCTAATTGACTTGACCTATCACAATGCATTTGGCCTTTACCATAAAAAAGATCATCATTAACAGTACAACTTCCGACTTTGTTCATATACTTGATAGACTTGAAAGAATTATTTAAATTAATTTCAATTTAACTACTTAATTTTAATAACATTTCAATCAGATTTTTTTCTCTTTTAAGTGTCGTGATAAAATGTTTATAATAATAACATTTAACTAGAATTTAATATTAATAACAAAAATAAATAATAGACACAAAATATAATAACAAAACTAATGACAAATAATATTATCAACAATATTATTAATTAATTAAATATTATTAAATTAAAATATGGTGAATTACATATTTATTTATTATTTATTTATATTTGGGGGCGGGTGGCGTTTTTAAAAAAAAAATTTTTTTCCTTATCCTAAATTTATTAATTATTATTTTATTTTTACATTCTTTGAAAGTTGAAAACTAAGGAAAATAGTCGAAACAATTCAGCGAGAAAAATCGGCTTTTATTTTATACATTTTTATATATATAAATAATTGTTATTTAGAATAAAAAATTATTAATTGTATAGATGGCTCTTAATCCAAAGTCACTTTTACCATCATTAGAGATATTAATATTTAGAAATCGTGAAGGTTAAATTTACTGATGAATGGAACAAGATGGAATATATTATTATCGAGAAACAAAAAAAATTATTAACCGTTTATTGCCTTTCTTTTTATTACATATCAATGAACTGCAAACGAACAAAAAAAAAATTAATGTTTCTTCATCGTGCATTAATTAAAATGCAAATTTTTATAATTTTAACATTCACTTTTAAAAAATTTTTTATTCGCGCAATAACTCAGTGATAAATATATACTCGAACACTGAATTTAATCGTTTAAATTCAAAAACTTGTATATCCTGCATTGTTAAATTACAATTTTTTTTTTTTTATAGTGAAATAAAAAATATTTAATTATTCATTTATACTTGTTTATTTAGAATATAAACGGATGATTATGTGTGTTTATGGTATTTTTCTTTAAGAATAATAAATTTTACAATAATTAATTATATTTTTTAAGTGTGAAAGTAATGAACTATATTTATTATGGTGTGGAAAAATAATAAATTATTTATTATAATTTCAGAATATTAAATTATTTATTATAATTTAAAGAGAGTAAATTATTTATTGTCAATTAATCAATTATTTACTATAATATTTAATAATACTTGGAAAAAAAATTTGATTTATTCAATTTAAACAAATTGATAGTAAAAATAGTTAAAAATTATGAATATATATTCATAAAAATTACTATTTTATTATTAAGATAATTTATTTATTGCCTCCACTCGAAATAAAGAAATGAGACTTTTACTTTTTAAAAATATAGTTTTAAAAATTTTAATCCAAAAAAATACAATCGATTTGTAAAGAAAATAACGAATGTATCAGAAAAAAAATGAGAACATTTCCGGAAAAAAATTTTAACAAAGAGTCTACCTGCATTTTAGCTGAGTTGAGATCGTATTAATGTGGATGCTGTGTGCATTCAGGTATTTCAGTGTGTGAAAAACATTCATCTACCTGCTTACGAAAACATACCCACGTGATTTTTGTAAAATCATTGATGCACCCCAGTGGAAGCAGTTTTGCGGAAAAAATTCGGCTTTCTGAACAAAATAACCTTTGATGAAATAAGTTTTTTTTAGAATTTCGTAAAAAAATTTGTTTTCTTTTCTGACTAAAGCAAATATTTTTTTTTGTTTATTTTTTATTTAAATTCCTTTTATAATTTTTTACATTTTAGTTGTTTTGGTAATTTTTTATTTTAATTATTTTATATATTGTTTCTTTTATTTATTAATTTATTTTTTATTTTATTTATTCAATTATTTTAACAACTTTTCAGTATTGAAAATTATATCATTTACTTTAAATTATCCTATTATTATTTGCTTCAGTAATTTTTCATTATTTCCTATTTTAATAATTTTGATAACTTTTCATTGAAATAATATTTTTAAAAATAAATTTTTATTGATTTCGATTTAATAAATTGTTATTGATATTGTTTTAATAAATTTTTCTTATATTATTTTAATTATTTTTTATCAAATTATTCCAATACCAAATCTTTTAGTGCAATTATTGTAATAATTTTCTTTTGAATTTATTTTTATAATCCTTTATTAAAATTGTTTCAATACCTATACATACATATATACCTAATGTCTTCTTGAAATTATTGTAATAATAATATTTTATTATTTTCCACTTCAATATTATTTCGATAAATTTTTTTTTTTGAAAATTGTTTCCATAAATTTTTGTTTGACAATTATTTTAATAATTTTTTATTAAATTTGTTTTAATACCTATTTACTAATATTTTATTAAATCTCTTGTAATTATTCTGTTTTGAAATTGTTGTAATATATTTTTTGGAAATTGTTTTAATACCTAATTTTTTATTGAAATTATTGTAATAATTTTTATTGACATTATTTTAATAATTGTTTATTAAAATTGATTCAATACCTAATTTTTTATTGAATATATTTTTATAATCGTAAAATTGCTTTAATACCTATTATGTTTTATTGAAATTATTGTTTTAATTTTGTATTGAAATTATTGTAATAATTTTAACAATTTTGTATTAAAATTATTTTAATATTTCATTAAAATTTTTTAAAAACTTATTATTTTCAACTATTGTAATTAACATTTCTCAATTATAAATTATTAATATTAATACACCCACAATCAGTGAATTTTTTACAAAATGAATTTTTAATGAAACTCAATTTTCAAATAATTAGAAAAAACGAATTTTGAATAATATTATTGTTTTTGAGAGAAAAATTATTATTGCATATATCGTTTGATTTTCTTGAACTTTATAACACATTTGATATACTTTTTTTTGTTTGGCAATGTACGAAATGTAATTTTCGCAATCCCTTCTTTTAACAAGCCAGCCACTTCTCTTTTTTTTTTTTTTTAATACACTAATTAGAAAGCAGATGTGGAAATTTATGACGTGCAAATCGAGATTGACGACAACCTTAACCAGCTATTTCATTGTCTACTGCAATATAATTGTTACGTGTTCTATAATTATATACATTTTTATTCTGAAATCTTATTTTAAATCATATTTATATTCGAATAGAAAAAATTCAAATTCATTTTGTTTCCGAATCACTCAATTTTAAAATTCGAAAAAAAAGTTCCTTTTTATTTTAATTACTCACAATGGCAGAAAAAAAATGTCTTCAATTTTAATTACGTGACAGAAAAATAAAATTTTGAGAACTTACATTCTTTAATGAAAACAATTTTTCTGTTTATAATCATTTTTATGTTTAATAATTTTTTTTCGTAAATATATATATCAACGAGAGTAAATGTTTTTTTTTCTCCTGATAAAAAAAAAATTCTCCATATTTTTTTGATTTTCTTAAAAATATTTTTCCGAAACAAAGAATGAAACGTGATTAATTATTAATTGTCTTTGGAAATATTAAACAAACGAAAAAAAGGTTACTGGTATTATTTAAAAAATGTTCCGGATATGCAATTACCAATATTGATAAAATTCTTTCCCCCGTGAAAAGTTAATATGTGCAGATTGGACACGTATTAAATATTAAAAGAAAAAAAGAAACAATCGTTGATATTAATTAATAAATTAATTGGTACAAAGTGAGGTAATTATTTCCTTTTGCTATCAATTAAATTGTTTGAATTAAAAAAAAAATGTGTCACATTTTGTGATATTTTCTTTTTGCAGGCACGTTCTTTTTAATTGTAAAATAAAAATTGTTACACGTGGAAAGCTTATGTTAATATTCATTAAATATTTTTTAAATTAAAAATTATTAAATGAATAATTATTAAACTAACAATTATTAAATGAATAATTAACAAGTTAATAATTATTAGGATAAATAATTATTTTTTTAAAATATTTTTTAAATTGAGAATTTAAAAAATATCTTCCAAAAATAAAAATTGAATATATTCGGTAGGGTAAATTTCATTTAAAAGCAATTTTCTTTTTTTTTGACAAAATTGATTTTCTGTACTTGCAGTTTATTTTTTATTTTCAAAATGATAACATCTTCATTTTTTTTCTTGTTTTTGTATAAAAATAAAGTTGCGCTGTAAGTTCAAAGATAAAATAATGTGTTATGTAGAATTAAAGTTTCAGCATTCAATGTATAACAAACACAATTGACTGGGCTTATTTGAAAATTACAAATTTACATCATTTTTTTTTTGTTTCTCATTACATCGTAGCATGTTGCACGTATGTACAAATAAAATTGTATAATAAAAATCGGATAATTTTCTTTTTCAACTTTTTTTTTTTTGCAAAGTACAAATATCACATCTAGAGGAGACTAAATTCAGTAACTAACATTAAGTAAAATCATCAATTCACACCTTAAATTTACACGCAAATACCATTTAATCCGCGGATTAATTATTTCACATTTTGGTAGACCTTTCTCGCATAATTGCAATATTTGTTTTTTTTATATTTCGGCTGTTATTCAACCCTTGGCATTTAATTTATTTCAATTTACATGAGACAAAATGTTTTTAATTATTTTTTTTTTTTGTTAAAATATTTTACTAATATAATTATGCATTACTTATGTACTTAAAAATAGTAAAAGATTTCCGTGCCAGAGAAACTATTTTTCATTAGAAAAATAAATATTACAGTATTTACTTATATTTCAAAAATTGGAACAAATGAAATTATTAGAAATGAATAAAAATTGTTTCATAAAAAAAATATAAGAAGAAAAATGATTTTGAAAAATGCAAAAAAAAAGAATTGCGGGAATGAAATAAAACGTAAAAATGAAACAAAATTTTAAGAAAAACTGGTAAATTTCATTTTATTGAAAGATAAAAATATATTTTATAGACAATAATTTATAGACTAATCTGAGCGAGAAAGAAAAATAATAATAATAATAAATGGAAAAAAATAAGGAACAAAATAAAAGAAAAATGTGCTCATAAAAAAAAGTACACTCTCTCCCGAAATATTGATGAGCTTTGAATTTATCAAAGTGATAATCATAAATTATATTATAGTGTAATTCAATTACGCACTTTTCTTTTTTATCGTATTAAAATTATATATTTTTTTTTATGTTTTTCTCTTCTTTAATGGACTGCTGGCGTAGACATTACTTGTGTATGTATATTATATATATATTTTTTTTTAAATGTGTATTATACTGTTGTCCTAAGTATGGATAGGATAAAATGAAGACCTCTAGATTATGGATTTATTTGAATGCGTCGACATGGCAGTCCATAGTTTTAAAACTTAGTCTTTGCGCTTACGATTCTGTTGTTCCTAAAAGAAATTATACTTTGTTAAGAATAATTTAATAAAGCTTAGGAACTAAAATTAAACTGGGTTAATCCAATATATGACAATGTCTATGAATAAAAAAAAAATAAAAGTTTTTTTTTCCCTCTTGAAAGAAATTGTCATTTTGAAAAGACGAGAATTTTGCAAAAAAAAAAAAAATGATAGATTTTACTATCGCGGGTCGTTTATCAAATTAACCGATAGTAAATATTCTATCCTTTTTTTATGGAAAAAAATAAAAAGATTCAACAAATAAATCACTAAATAAAATAAAAAATTCTATTTTATTTTGAACAATATTTGTCGAGTTTAAATTACATATTGTTAATTTTTGTTTGCTAATGTGAAAATTAACATCACGATAATAAGGTACAAAAAGAGATCATTTAATTGACAAATTAATTGCAGTATTTTTTTTAAAAGCAATTTTTTCTACTTTTTTTAATCTTCTTTTTTCGTTTAAACTTGTTTACTTTTATTTTAATTGCATTTAATAATTTAAAACAATGGCTAATTAGTTTTCGATCGGTAAATGAATATTTAATGGAACTAATTATTGTGCATATAGAATAATTAGTTTTATGATAAAAGAGATTAATTTTATGGGTCAGTTCAATTAATTATTTAATCCATAGTCATTGCGTACTATTTTTATTCATTAAATATTTGTTTGAAATATTTCCAACTATTTTTTATCTATTTTTAACAAAGTATTTTTAAATATTATTTTTATCTATTCTTGACTACCTATTTTTAAATATTATTTTTAAATAGATTTTCAAAATTTATTTTAAAAAAAGTGAATTTATTAATTAAAATTTCAAATTCAAAAGAAAAAGATCAGAATTTAGAAACAATTATTCTTTTCGAAAAAAATACATATTACTCAACGCCTGGGGGAAATATTCATCTGAACATTATTTAGTTTCACGATCAAAAAGTAATTTAAAAATAATGCATTAAAATAAAATCTTTATCAAATTTTTAATTTTTAAAAATAAAATTCTATTATTAATTTTATTAGTCATTAAATAATTTTCTTATTCGACGTTTCTAAAATTCTGAACGTTTAAATGAACGTTTATTTGTTTCTACTTCAAATTAAAAAGTTATAAAACCTCTAAAAGTTAAATTTAGGTTTTTAATTTTTCTTATTACAATCTATGGAAATATTTACAATGAAAAATTCGTTCACTTGAAACTTCAAAACTTGTGGATCACTATTTTCTTTAATAATTTAATAAATTTAATTTTAGTTCACAATTTATTTTATTCAGCACCTAATTTATTTTACCTAGTACCTACTTTATTTTGTACCTAATTTTTTTTTATTTGGTACCAAATTTATTTTATTCAGTGATTTAATAAATTAATTTTGAATTAGTTTATTTAGTGGAAAAGTCGCCGTTTGTGACCAAAATACTTACTTTTTGCGTAAGAATAACGAGAAGATGACGGAAAACATTGATGAAGTCAATGAAAAGATCGAGAGAGTGCATGATAAAGTCTTTGCTGCCCATTCTGTGCTTCTCGACAATCAATTGCGTGTCGTAGAGAATAAATCCACACATTATGAACAGACCCAAGTACAAGCGAATTTGATAGAGAATTGCCACTCTCAAGAATAGATTGACAAACGAGAAGAGAACAGTCAAATTTAGCAAACTAATTAGAGGTCCTCCAAGATATAGCCAGCTTCCTCTATCGGCCAATAATGATGAGATGCTGAATGACACAAAGATAAGTGACGTTGCTGAAATAAACAAAATTAAAAATTAGTCACTAATCAAACCATTCATTATATTAATTAATTAGTAATATTAATAAATATAATAAGAATAATAATAAAAAGAATTATTATTATTTAATTAATAATTAATGAATAAAATTCAGGGTTGCCACAAAAATTTAATTTTGTTTTCCCCTGACGATTCCCTGATTTCCAGACAAAATTTTCTCTTTTTCCCTGACCCTAAAGAATATTCTGATTAATTCTAAAAATGATTAGATACTACAAAAAACGTTATATTATATTTATTTATACTAATATCTTTAATTGTAAAATTATTCGAATTAAAATTGAATTAAAAATAATTGAATTACAAAAAAGAATTTTATTATTTACGAAAATAATATTGAATCCCTGTAGAATTGAATTGAGGAAAATTTGTGAAAATAATTGAACTTCGAAGAAGAATTTTATTATTTATAATTAGATAATTGAAATTTTGTCAAGAATGTTAATAAAATTTTGTAGAATAATTGAAATTTTTGAAAATAATTGAAATTCGGAGATGAATTTAATTATTTATAAAAATAATTGAAATTTTGACGAGAACTTAAAAAATTTTTTGAAAATAATTAAAATCAGGAGAAGAATTTTATTATTTATAAATATAATTGAAATTTTGTCAAGAATGTTATTAAAATTTTTGAAAATAATTGAAATTCGGAGGAGAATTTAATTATTTTTAAAAATAATTGAAATTTTAACGAGAATTTTCAAAAGTTTTTGAAAATAATTGAAATTTGGAGAAAAATATTGTATTATTTATAAAAATAATTGACATTTTGACGAGAATGTTTTTAAATTGTTGAAAATAATTGAATTTCTGCGAAGAATTTTATTACTTTTAAAAATAATTGAATTTCTGCAATCATTTTTGTAACTTTTCCAAAATTCAATTATTTTTAGTGTTTTTAACTAAAGTTCTTCTATAAATCCATTTCTTTTCAATAATTAATTAAATATACAAAACAAAATGTAACTAATTTTTCAAAAATCTGAAATCTTTAAAATTTTTAATTAAATTCATTCAAATTTGAAATTTTATAAAATTTCAAATTAAAACCTTCCGAAGTTCATCAATTTATGAAAATTGTAAATGCAACTCTCTTAAAAGTTAAAATTAAAATAATTTTGAAATATTAAAGTAAAATTATTCATTAAATAATTTCTAAGTAATTGATAGTTCTTCGAGAATTAAGTTATTTAAAAAGTTATTGTCAGAAATAGAAAAAATTGAAAGTTTTCTATTAGAATTCGTGGTCATTTCATAGTTTATGAGGCAAACAAAAAAGGCAACTCTGAAAACCCATTAATTATTAATATTTAAAAGCAAGAATAAAAAAAAAGAAACCACTAAAATTTACAAATGTGAATAAAAGAAATTTTCGATTTTCATTTTGAGAAAAGTGATTTGATTTAGAAAAAAAAGTACAAATTGAAGTATTGAAATGAAAAAGAATGCAAATATTTGAAAAAATGGAAAAAAAGAGACAAACACGAGTGGAATTTAAAATAAAAAATAATAATATAAATATTCGTGGAAAATTCAGACAATAATTGATAATAATTGATAAAATGTTCAGAATATTTTTTAATTATTGCATGAAAAAAGTTTTCCTTTAATTCTAGAGGAATTTTAAATACTTTTAAACAATATTCTCTATTTTTTTTTATTTTCTTGTAAATACGTTATCTGTACTTTTTAATATTAATTTTCAAATTAATAAGTTCTTTGACCTTGGAAATTATTTCCGAAACGTAAACATAAATCAATAAATAATAAAATATAATGGAAATTTCTCTTAATTTGATATTTTTATTTCAGTAATGTTTCTTTTTACGAATAAAATAATTTTGTACTTTATTTTATTTTTAAGTTAAAGCTTTTTCCTTTTTTAAAAATATATATCAACAGTTTGTAAAGTTCTTTTCTTTATCAAATTGTGGATAAATAGCTAAACGATTTAGTTTATTGCTTAAGTGTTTATGCAGAAAGTCAAATAACAATTTACTTCATAATACATAATTTAACATAGAATTTTAGTAAAAAAATTTACTATTTATTGAAATATTTATTTAAATTCAATTTTTGTTTTTCAAAAAATAATTTCGCAATTTCGAATTTTCGTTTTTTAATTATTTTCTTTCAAAATTAAATTAACAGATTATGATTTAATTGTAAAACCAAAACTGTAAAATTTGTATGGGGACCAAAAAAGATCTCATTTTAATTTGCTGATTTCCTACTTTCAAATATATGAATAATAAAGGATATGCTTTCTCTTTTCAAAACAAGTTGGCGAAACTTTTATGAAATATTTGAATAATTAAAATAAGCTTTTGTCAAGTTTTATCGTCTTTATATACTGTTAATCGGTAATTTCTGCGTAGTTCTTAAAAACCACTGTCTACCATTTATTTCATTATTCGCTATTTGAAATTTTTAATTTATTAATAAATTTAGGTAAAAGTCTATTCGTAGTTTTCAATTTAAATTCACTTTCTTTACACAAAAAAAAAAATTTTTACGATGACGAAAATAATTTCCAAGAAATCAATAGTATTTTTAATACACTATTATCATCACACAAAATATAAATAAAGCAAATTAATTAAATTATTTCAAATTAATTTAATTTAATGATAAAAAAAATGTTATTTCAATTCTTTGTTTTGATGATAATTGAGAATAAATAACACACGTAATTTTCCCACGACTAAATTATACTCTTAATGAGAATAAAATATCGTGATTAACATAAATAATATATAATGGCTGTCATTGTAATTGGAAGCAAGGAAAGAAAAAAAAATGTGAATAACTAACCCAAAAGAGACGTGACGACTATACTTGGGTCCACGCTAATAACAGCTTCCAAAAGGGGTCCCATTCCCAATCCTGACAAGAATGTGAAACCCAATAGATAACCGAGACGTATTTTTTGATTTTTTCCATTATCAGGTGTGCAAAGAAGAGCAAAAAGAAGACCTAACGCTCCCAATGTGGACATTAATCCTGCCTGGAGAATTTCTGTGTACATATGAACGTATGCTCCAACGCCTGCTGAAACCGTCGACATTGATAGGCATCCGTAGACATTTTTTAAATGTTGTTTCAACGGTGCTTCTCTGAAAAAAGGAAAATTTCCCCTGCAGTTTCTTGAAAAACAAGAAAAAAATTCGCTACCTTTCCATTATATAAAACGTGTATTTGAAAAATAAATCAATTTGACATTGAATATATATCAACTTTATAGATATATTGTCTTTCGATAATTAAATTACAGCTAAAGAAAGTAAAATTGACATATTATAAATTGCTGCGCAGAAAATAATGGATTCTTTTATTATCTATTAAAATAAAAATGAGAATCAAAAAATATACTGTCATTGTAGTATATAAGTAGTACACACTGGAAAGTTACATCATTTTGATAACTACCTACGTGTTCAAGAATCGTCTGATTATATTAAAATCTATTTTCGTAACTACATGTTAAAGTACAAATATATAAAAAAGAATGTTTATCGCTTATACTCGTGAGAGAATGAGCGGATACAAAATAAGTAAACAAAAGATATTTTTGGAACATAAAGATGAACATTTGAGAGTAAACTTACAGTCTGGCGTTGAAGGAATTAACAAAGCTCGTTAATGTTGGTGCCATGATTTTAATTTTCTTCTTTCGTTTTAAATTAAAACACTAGTTACACTTATGTTGCAAACACTTCTGTTTTTAATTTTATACTGATCTAGAATGATCATGAATCGCCAAAGTGATACTTTTTGTGGACACGTCAGTGATATTTCTATGGTATATATTTTCTCTTGATTTCTCATTGGCTGAAAGTTAATGAAGCTCTGACGAAATGACAGTTTAATGAGAGAATAAAGAGGGAGCTATGAAATTCTTCAAGTTGGAGAGAGAAAAATTGAAGTGTACAAAGCGAAACGTCTGCCCTCTACTGTCAAACTTTTTTAGGTTATGTGACTCAGTATTTTGTTATATACACGTTGAATAAATATATGTAGAAAATTATCGATTTTCCCAGAATTGTTAGCTATTAACTTTTAATCAGACAATTCGAAATGAGAAATATTCTATTAATTAGAAAAAATTTTTTTAAAAATACTCATAAATTATTCCTACAAATTTTGAATCTTCCTCATCTCCCGCCATATTTCTACGTTTCTGAAAATGTCATCTGTCAAAATGTGTCAAATTACAAAGATTACAAACAACTTTGTCTTTAGTGATTAATTATAAATATCGTGCAAGAATAATTTATTTATCTAGTAAATAATGTTGACGAAAGTGCAACGGAATAAGAAATAATATGTAAATATAAATATAATTCTTTTTCTCCAAAAGTAAACATGTGCCAAACGTGATAAAAGTTAACCTCTCTCAGGGAAAACCGTGACTTTTATTCATAATTTTCGATTTTTTAATTATTTCTCTATAGTTTAGAAAAAAGAAAGAAACAAGAAGAATACTAAGAGATTAAATATAGAGAAAAAATGATTTACAGTGAATTTTAAAACATTTTTTGTTATTTTAGTTGCAAATATAAATATAGGTTAAGTTTGAAATCTTCTAATATATATTTATCAATATGAAAGAGGTTTTGAATTCTCAATCTTCCTCGGGTTTTAATAATCATTTTGCGAATAATAATGGTGACACGAGTAATGCAAGTTCAAATAGTGTTGTGAATGGAGAAAATACAAGAAGATATGCGGTATTAAGTACAGAATGGGTTTCGGCAATTGGCGAAGAATTGGGAATGCATCCACTGCCAGATCCTCTTCTACGGAGACTTGCAGAAGATGCTTCTTATCGTTTACGAGATGTTTTGCACGTAAGTACAAAAAGTATTTTTTATTTTAAGATTTCTAACTAATCGAATTATTGTTATAATTGTATCATAAATTTTTCTCCGTTTTGCAAAAAAGAAATCTATTTATTTATAAATTACAGAAATGTGTAACTAGACTTAGGCACAGTAAACGAAGACGTTTAACATCGAATGATGTGAATGCTGTGTTTACAAATTTATGTGATATTGATCCAATATTTGGAGCTCCCGAGCAAATGCCGGAATATCACACTGAAGCTGCGGTATTTGTTCCTCATGAGCACATTATAGAATTACCGCAACAAGTTAATAATCCACAGAGAATTGAACAAATACTTCCTCCTTTACTACAGGGTATAAATTAGAATTCAAGAAAAATATTCATTTTATATATATTCATATATTAAATATTAAATATTTTTTTTATTAAAATTTTGTTTCATTTTATACAGAAACGGAGATTGCTGACGCTCGCCTTCGGGAAGCTCGTGATAATTATGCAAAACGAGCAATAAAAACGATTTTTAATGGATCTCAGAAGACGTTTCAGGTAAATGTTTGTTTTGAATTTGTTTTCTCTTGTTAATTAAATTTTGATACTAAGTGGAAATATTTTTTACAGGTCCTCTTGAATGATTGTGCAACTAATGCTAATTTAGGTGGTTATGGCGTTGTGGATAAATTAATGTCTATTGCAAGAGCCATGGTGATTGCAAACAGTACTCATTACACTCGTATTTCGATGCGTACTTGTCAGCTTATTATTGCAGTCGCCAGCAACAGTGAAGCTGTTTATCCCTATCACCTAGTTTCTGTAATTTGAATTTTTCGAATAATTTAATTCAATTTAATTTTAAATTTATTTCTATTACTTATTTTACTATTGTTACTTATTTACTTTCTTTAGAAAAACAATTTCCTATTGTTTCTTAAAAATATTTCTCTATTTTAGGTGGATAAATTAACAGAATTGTTGATTGAACTTCCCGATGGTTATATACACACAAATATGGAAGTTTTATTCAAAGAATGCGCTTTCAAATTAATGCTTCGTTGGCCTTCCGCAGCTGATAGGTTAGTCTTCTGATAGTCTTAAAATTTCTTCTTATTTTATTATTTAAATTTCTTTTTCTTGTTTTATTGTTTAAATTTCTTTTTCTTGTTTTATTATTTAAATTTATTTTTCTTGTTTTATTGTTTAAATTTCTTTTTCTTGTTTTATTGTTTAAAATTTCTTTGGAGAATATTTTTTTAAATTTGATTTTAAAAAAATGATCAATTTTTTAGATTCATTCCAGTTTTGGAAGGAATGCTTCGTCAGGAGGTGAAAGATAGTTTTGAATCAAGGAGAAAAAAATTAATGGCTATGGAATTGATCGCAGGCGTTCAACCTCTATTGTTCTTCCAACAAGAAAATAATTCACCGCTTTCTCTAGAAAATGTTCTGTCATTCGCGACACCTGCTTCTGTTTTGTGGCTTCGCTTAGCCGTAAGTAGATACGCAAAGAAAAACTTCAAGTTTTGATAATTTGAAATTTTTTTTCATATTTAAATTATTAAATTTATTTAAATAATTTTTCTGGGTTAGCACAGGTCAGGAAAATTAGAGAAAAGTCAGAGAAAAAAAAATTGGTTAAGGAAAAAGATGGGGAATTTAATTAAAAATACTGGAAAAGAATTAAATTTTTAGGAATTTAATTTTAAATGAAATTTAAGTAAATTAATTATTTATTTAAAGATTCAATTCTTCTTGAATTTCTTTTGGTTTGCTTTATAAACTTTTAAATCACCACGAATTTAAATATGAAATCTTAAATTTTTGTTTTCTTCGGACAATAATAATTGCATTTTACAGAATATAAAATCGAATTTATTTAAAATAATTTAATTCTTGAATTCTTCTTTGTCTACCATAAAATTATTATTACTAACTTATTAAAAGAATAATTTTACTGAAAAATTTCAAAAATAATTGAATTTTATAAGAGTTGCTTTTACAACTTTTATAAATAATTGAAATTCAAAAGGTTCCAAATTAAAATTTTTAAAGATTTGAATTTTAAATCATTTTTATTGAAAATTTATTTTAATTTTTAATATTTATAAATTATTAACGAACAATTTTACTTATAAATTCCAAAAATAATTGTATTTTACTAGAGTTTCTTAAAAAAATTTTATGAATAATTGAATTGCAAAAGGTTTTAAATTGAAATTTTAGATTTGAATTTTGAATAATTTTAATTTAAAATTCCGAAGAATTATTCTTTTTGAAAAATTGGATTCCCAAAGAAATTTCTCAAAAATTATTAAAAATAATTGATTCAAAGAAGAATTTAAAAATTTCAAATTTAATTGGATTTACTAGAGTTTTTTTTTTTAATTTTTATGAATTAATGAATTTCAAAAGGTTTCAAATTGAAATTTTAAAAGATTTGAATTTTAAATAATTTTTATTCAGAATTTATTTTAATTTTTAATATTTATAAATTAATTAACGGACAATTTTACTTAAAAAGTCCAATATTATATGTAATTGTATTTTACTAGAGTTTCTTTAAAAATTTTTATGAATAATTGAATTACAAAAGGTTTTAAATTGAAATTTTAGATTTGAAAAAAAAAAATTTGGATATATTTCCAACAGAATTTGGGATTTATTTTTTAACTTATCTTTTAAAATTCATTTTATCAGGAAAGTTTTCCAATTCTTTAGAAAAGATTCCAATTTTTTTTGGATATGTTTTTTTCCAAAAATTGAGGAAATATTTCCAGCAGAATAAGAAGAAAAATTACTTTTCTAATAATTTTGAAAGTTTTCCTTTTTTTTTGAAGGAAATTGTGCCAAAATTTTTTACAGTTTGTATCTAACAAATTTTAGAGTGAATCTGAATATTCTTTAGAGTCAAAGTTCTGAGTGAAAATGAGGGGAAGCCAGGGAAAAACAAATTTTTGTAGCAACCCTGTTTATTTAAATGCATATTTAAAAAATAATTTTTGTAAATTTATTTGACAGATTGCAGTTAGCGCTTTCGTGAAAACAGGTAATCAGCCTTTTAATTATTCTGTGATTTATGATCATTATGGCGACTCTATATTGTCGTATATGGTGACGAGAAACGAGAATCAAGGGGAGCGTAAGGAACCAGTTAATCTCCCAATGATTGTGAGAAGTAAAATTAATACTGTTAATGTCAGGCCGATTCGATTTAATAAAATCTGCCCGGACAGACATTCCGTATTTCCCGATTCAATGCTGCAAGGCAGACATGAAATTAGGTAAAATTCAATTTTTCTTTTCTTCTTTTTTCTTAACTATAAATTATTAATTACTTTCACTTTCTTCTCTGGATAACTATAATTTTAATGACTATTTTAATAACTAAAGAATTTTACAGATTTTTTAATAAGAAAATCCTTTTTTTAGATTTGCATTCGCTGGCGGACGTCCTGTACCACCAGATAATCTGAAACGAGCAAGTTTACGCGCTGATTATGAATTTTTAAGAAGTGAAGTGCCTGCCACAGTCGCTCTTGTTGCGTCTAGAAGACTGCTTATATTTAAAAACAAAAGGAAAAATTTCTCAGATGCTTACAACTTAGGAAATATTCATCTTTAAATAATATTCAAAAATCTGACAATAGGTTCCTAACAAAAAGTTAACAATCATTAAGGTACATAGTTTTTTTTTCTCTTCAATTTAATTTTCCGACTGAAACTGTATATTGTAAGTGGATAAATATTTAACGAGTGTAAAATATCCAAATATTTCTTTATTATATTAATTACTTGATTATACAAACACCAACTATAACTGAACTATCCAAAAATACAAAACTCAACTATAATTTTAAAATTAACTAAATTTTTCCAATAAACTATAAATTAAAACTAAATCGTATTTTTAGACACTTATTGGAAATCAAAGACAGTCCTCGAGGCCATTTGGCAATTCTGATTTTGGCAAACAATGAGAATTCGACAGGCATGTAAGTCGAGTGTGGAATCGAATAGGTACCTATTGCAAAAAATAGAACATTTTTTTAATTGATTTAGAAAAAAATAATTCTAAACTGTCGTATAAAGATAAAATTGTATAAAAATAATAACGATAAAAATTTTGTTCTTCTCTTACTTCAGCAAGTCGTTGACGACTGATAATTCGGTTATTGTAAAAAAATACGTTACGTTCAAATGAAATAGTACTATGACACTGTCCATATTGATTGGATTTAATATGCAAAGAATTTGTGAAATCTATTAATTCAAGCCTCGAGCTATCATTTAATTTTTGTGTATCTGTTGAAATAATTTATGTATAATATAGAAAATATTTCCCCGCATAATATAAAAATGTTTATTTTTATCTGAAATTAATTTTTTCGTTTTTTTTATTTGCCTTACTTTTTGATTTTTCTACAATCGTGCAATTTTTATTGTTCGACAATAATTTGTGGAGAATTGATTTTTTTCTTTTCTCGACAATTGAAGTTGATTCTCTGACATTTAGACTCGCAACTTTTTTTAATTCTTAAAAAATATATTCTTTTATTAAATATTTATGGATTTAAAAATTAAAAATTAAAAATTTGTCTTTAGATTTATTATTTGAATTTATTTTTCTTTAGAGAATTAAAAGAGCTTTTTGGGTACTTACGATAATTTTTCCAAAAAATTTGTATCTTGAGTGCACAATGATTGAGATATTTATTTCTCTGATTTTCTAATTTGAAGAAAAATGATTCGTTGAGGAAAATTAAACGTTTTCCGAAAAAAATCATTGACGATTCATTTTCCATGTTTGATGATTCTTTAAGAATTTCCTCACATCGTTGAATATGAAAAGTGGAGTCAATTATTGGGGAGGAAATATTTTTCCAATCACAGTCCCTTTTCGAATAACGTTTAATAAATTCTTCATAAAGGAGACGAATTGAAAATTTACATCTAGCAAGTGGTAAAGCGTCTAAAATTCCCGTATAAATTAATTGTCTTTTTAATTCTATTTTGTCCCAAGAATTTTCGATAAATCTGAGAAAAATGAGAATATGTAATAAATTGATTAATTAAATTAATTATTTTGAAAAAACAAGTTTCGGAAAATTAAGGTGACTAATTAATTAAATAATTATTTCATTAATTAGTAGTTAATTAATTAATTATTTAATTAATTAGTAGTTAATTAATAAAAAAATAGTAATTCTGAAAACCTTGGCATTACACATTTAACGTAATTAGTGTCACACTTTTTGAGTTCTTTCAAAAGAGCATCTAAACTGCGTTTGACTTTTGCCAGAGTTGTTCCTTTTCTTGTATAAATTTTACTGTCCTTATTCTGAAAATTATTTTCATTCATGGCTGATAAGAATTTCAAAAGACTGTTTGACGACTCAGAAAAAATATTTGCCAGTTCATTTGGAACCTGAAATATTAAATTATTCGATCATTATTAGAAATATGTTTCAATCTTATTGTTACTCTTGAATATAAATATTAATTTTCTCTTTTAATAAAAACCTTGTCACTGTTTTTTGAGAGCAAATCTTGCAAAGAATATTCGACTGGTTGCGAATAGTGATTAATGATAAATGTCTCATTATTTTTGGACAGTTTAAAAAAAATATTGTCGACTTTTCGAAATTGATTTTTTAGATGAAAATTTTTATTTTGTACTGAATGTTGACTGGCCTGTAAAATAATTTTCTTAGGAATTAATTTAATTCCATTCATAATTAAATATTACTCATAAAAAAATTCCACTAAATCTCTGACACTCAAATTAAATTTTTTACTATATTTGCAATTTTTTTTCTTTTAAAAAATATTAAAAAAACGTACATCATTCAAGACTGTAAATAAATTAACTTCAATGGCATTTAATCGATCTCGATAGACGTCTATAATTCTTGGAGTTGGTAAATCACTTAAACCTTCCTCCAATAATTCCTGATGTCCTGATTCTAAATAATCTCGCATAAAATATAATTGTAGCCGTTCATTCGCATAATTTATTGAAAGTTCCTCGAGACCGTTTATGGCGAATGATTCGAATCCAAAAATGTCTAATATTCCTAATCAAGAATTATTACAAGACGAATAAAAATTGAATTGAATCGATTTTATTGTAATTTAATTTAATTTAATTTAATTTAGTTTAATTTAATTTAATTTAGTTTAATTAATTATATTTAATTAATTAATTGTATTCAATTTATTCCAATTTAATTAAATTCACTTCGATATTATTCGAAAAAGAATTTATTTAATTAAACTTTTTTTTCTTTTGTTTTAGAATTAAATAAAATTGAAATAAATTACCCAACCAATTGTGATACTCATCTCCGGAGGATAAAATTTGATTTATACGATCTATTAACCAGTGAAATAAATTATCGTACAAGTGACGAATAATGCTGAATAATCGATTTCGGCAAATTTCAATTAAGCCGAGATTTCGTCGATACGTCGAATGTCTTCGCCATTGACTTTGAGTGCTTATCAAAGTTGTTGTTAATAATTCGTTTAATTCATTTTCTGACACTGCAGACAGTGCACTCGCTTTTTCGAGAGCTTTTCTAGAAACTGATGAAAAATAATTTTGAAATTAGGAAATTTTATATTTTTTTTTTGTTTTTGTAGTAAGAAAAAAAATTCTAATTTCTTTATTTTGAGTATTAAAAATCATGATTGGGAAATATTTCACTTAAAATTGTTTAGAATTTCGAAATATATGCGTGACATTAATTTAGAACCTTTATTTTCAATATCAATTGCTGTCGAACCGTCGCCAGTCTCGATAAATTTTACATTTCCCAAATGTATCAGCAAAGCGATAATATTGAGAATTTCTTCTCTCTCTTTTTCGGAAAAACCAAAATCTCTCATGGCTGTTAGAGTTTTTTGCAAACTTTGATCCAATTTTTCATTTTGGACGTAGGGATTTTGTCCCAGTAAATTATACGTTTCTTCCTTCGATAAACCGAAATTCTGGAGTTCAGAGTCTGAGGATCCGAAGAGAAGCTGTAAATTTTGGAAAAATGAGAATTTTTTGCATTTTATTTGAATTTATTTTTATTTAATTCGTTTCATTTGAATTTATTTTTATTTAATTTTGTTTAATTCGTTTTATTTGAATTTATTTTTATTTAATTTATTTGGATTTATTTTTGTTTAATTCAGTTTATTTGAACTTAGTTTTATTCAATTTATTTTGTTTTGAATTATTTTTACTTTATTTTCAATTTTATCAATTTTTATTTTATTTTTTAAAAAGATTTTTTTATTAATTTTTTTTTTTTCAATTGTCACCTGATAAAAAATGATAAAATTATTATTTCCTCTCGTGACACGCGTTCGCTCGAGGAGAAACGATTGAATCGAAGCACCGGAAATAATTCCCTTCTCATATTCAAAACGTATTAATTGCCCGTGTCTTGAACTTTGAGAATTTTTCTCCGTACTCGCTGTACTGAATGCAGTAATTAAAGGACAAGACTTGACAATTTTTTCCACAAATTTTTCTCCTTTTTTTCCATTCAATAAACAAGTCGATGAACTTTTATTAATTGCTGCGAGAAAGTTTATTGCCTGATTTGCATTGAAAGTTTTTCCAGTGCCACTGTCACCGCTTATCAGAATTACCTGCGTTTCAATCGTTAATTATTTCTTTTTTTTATAGCTTTGAGGAAAAATTGTCAATCTTTTAATTAGGCAATTAATTTTTTTTTTTTTTTTTTTTGTTTAATATTCGAAAAATATTACCTGAGAAGGTCGACCGAGATTGTTTAGAAGTTTAAAATGCGCATTTGCAACAACTGCAAATATATGAGGTTTAATGTTCTTTTGGAAAAATTGTGATGAATCGAGGAAATTATTATCGAAGAAATTATTTTTCGAGGAATATTGTAATTCGGGAGAATAATTTTCTTGGGGATTTAGTGATAAGAGAATTTGACCGACCCAAGTGTAAGTTTTTCCTGTTTTTAGACGATTTATTAAATACTGAATGACTGAAAAAATGGAAAAATGATAATAAATAGGAAAATTGAAGTTATTGAAAGAAATTCAGAGAAATGAACACTTACTGTAATCTTCATTGTCAGGAATTGCATTAAGATTATTTATCGAATCGAATTCAATAGAATTCATCTTTTGATAATAAAATTATCAAAGAAATAATTAATAGTTAAATAATTTCATACGGAAATTATAAATTGATTTATCTATCGTTTGCTAATTATTATTAGTTTATTCGTTAATTAATTAAAGGGAACATTTTTCTAGCATCTGGTTTGACAGATTGACAACAAATAATTTAGCTGCGAATTTTGAAAATTCATTTGTTTTCTTTTCTTGCGAAAATAAAAAAAGACTAATTTTTCCCTAAAAAAATAAGTTTTAGTTTTGTTATTTCTTTAAATTGATAGCAAATTTAATTAATAACAACTTTATGTATACACAAGTTTTCTTTATTGAAATATAAATTGCAATAACTCTGTAAACAGTCTTTAGATATATGAAATGCATGTGTGACGCGCAACAATGCAAAAAGGCAAGCGCAGAATTATTTCAACAATTCAAATCATCATCATCATCATCAGGATTTCCAATTATTATTATTGAGGATATTTTTCGTTCATATTGTCAAGGAAATTTTTGCAATTTAAAATTGTTTTCTCCAAACGCTCCCTCGTGGCAGATGTTTGACGTTGCTCCAATTTCTTCTTTGACGATTCGATTGTTGCTCGATAGCCGGGAATGTTGCGGAAAATCTTCACGTGCTTGTCACCAGCAACGAGTAAATATTCGCCTGCTGCGTCGAATGCAAGACACGTTATTGGTCCTGAAAATAAAGGAAAATTAATTTCAAAGAATATTGCAACATTTAACTCGACAAATTCTAACAATATTCTAATAATTGGAATTTTTTACGTCTTGAAGTCGAATATTTTTAGTTGTTTTCGAGTAAATATTTTTATGAAAAAAAAGGAAACAAAAAATTCTAAATGTTTTTAGAAATAAAGATAAATTACCATTGAAAATGTCGTCGATAGTTGTGTCAAAAGCACCAGTGATTGTGCAATAAAACGATAATGATGATCCATGGGCAATAGCTAAAACTTCTCCATTCGGTGATAGGGCCAAATTTGCAGTCGATGTTGATTCCCAAGATCCATTGACGAGAATTCGTGGATCTTCACCTTTCTCGAATTCGACTAAAAATTGAAAAATTTAAATTAAATTTTCTGACAAATTTCTCCATTTAGAATTTTAGATTTAAAAAGGAATTTTCACTTTTAAATTTTTTAACAAAAATTTTATTATTCTATATTTAAAATTATTTTCCAGAAGTTTTTTTTATTTTTTTTTTTATTTCTCAAAACTAATTATAAATTTGCATTATTTTGACCAATTTTTTAAAATCTTTTCTGCAATTATTTGTGTAATAATTATAAATTTCTTTCTTTGTATTTCAATTTAGAAAATTTCTTTCTGGAAAAAATATTCTACAAAATTAGATTGATTTTCTTACTGTTAGTGTCATAAAATCTGTAAGTTCCATCCTTCGACACAGTAGCCATGCAGCTCGTATCAGCGCTAAATCCAAAATCATAAACTCCCGACGAATGTCCAGCAAGATTAAAAGCTTTCGCGACCTGTTTAAATTCTCCCGATTTGGTGAATCCAACTTCCCAAACTTTAACATCGGGCGTGAAACCTGAAATCACAAAAAATAATATTTCATATTTTAGAAAATTTAATTTATTCCCAATTATCCAGTGGTTTTAATTTTTTAATTTCTAATTTAATTTTCAGATTTTAATTTTCTGGGATTTTTAAATTCTGCTTTTATTTTTCAATAAAAAATACCCGATGAAGTAAGAAATGAATTTGGAAAATTAGTTTCCAAAAATTATAATTCTAATTATCCAGTGATTTAAATTTAATTTAATTTTCACATTTTAATTTCTGGAGTTTTTAGATTAAAAAATATTTTATCTGATGAAGTAACGATTGAAAGTGGAAATTTGGTCTTTTATATTCTCAAAACATTTTAATTCTATTATCCAGTGATTTTAATATTTTAATTTCTAATTCTGTGGAGTTTTTAAATTTTGCTTAAATTTCCAAATCGAAGATAGTTTACCTGATGCAGCAACGAATCGTCCGCAGGGAGAAACTCTAGCCTTATGAGTTGTTCCAAGATAAGTGTCGACATTTGCCAGAATTTGTCCCTTCAAATCCCAAATTACTAAGTCATTTGCTGTGCTGCAAGTCACGATGTAACGTCCGGTACACGCAATGTCCATGCCCACCACGTCCTCCACATGATGCTGAAAATTTTTCAAAAATTAAGAAATTGCAAAATCTAATTTTTTCCTAAAGAAAATAATGAGAACAGGGCTCGAACCAGTGAAAGTATTTAAAAATACGGACTTTACGGACCAAAAATTAAAAATTATGGACCAATTACTAACAAAAATATAACCAGTCCGAGTCAAATCAGAGAAAATTTTACTTAAAACTATAAATTAAATTTTTCATAAATATAAAACATGAAGATATCGATAACTCCGATAAAATCATTATCAATTCAATTATTTTCAAGAATTTTTAACTAAATTTCTTCTTTAAATCGATTATTTTTAATAATTTTCGAAAAAGTTCTTTGACAATTTTCAAATCCATTTGTTTACAATGTTCAATTTTACGAAATTTCAATTATTCGTAAATTCTTTAATTAAATAATTTCAATAAAATTACAATTACAAAAATTAAGGTCCTTGAAAAAAATACCGAAATTAAATAATTTCAAAATAAAAACTTAAAATAATATAAAAAAAATTCTATTAAACTTTTACAAAAAAAAATTAATTTCAAAATTCAATTAATTATGAAATTTCGCAATAGATATTATTGCTTTTAATATTCAATTATTATCTAAAATTTTAACTGAAATTCATTTTTAAATAAATTTTTTATTAGAAAATTCTACTAGAATTCAATTATTTAAATACAGAAGTAAATTATTTATTGAACAATATTTAATTTTTGCGAAGAATATTATTACTCTTGAAAATAATTGAATTTCTGCAATAATTTGTAACTTTTCAAAAATTAAATTTTTTTTCATGTTTTTAACTAAAATTCTTCTACAAATGCATTATTTTTAATAATTTTTGAAAAAGTTCTTTGAGTATTTTCAAATTTATTTCTTTACAATTTAATTTTACAAAATTTCAATTATTCGTAAATTCTTCAATTAAGTATATATAAGAAAATTAAAACTTCAAATAATTTTTAAAAAAAATCAGCTATTAAACTTTCTCAAAAAAATTAATTCCGCAGAATTGTTAGTTAAAAATATGAAAAATACAGATTTTCAAAGATTTTTAATTTGAAATCTTTTCAAAATTCAATTATTTCTAAAAATTTATGCTGTAATGCTATTAATATTCAATTATTATCTAAACTTTATATAAAATTCAGTTTTAAATTAATTTTTATTAGAAAATTCAACTATTTAAATACAAAAATAAATAATTTTTTATTGAATGTTAAGCTAAAAATTCAATTCTCATAAGGAATTTTTTCAATAAATTTTTAAATAATTGAATTCCTTTGACGAATTTTAATAAAAATTTTAAAAATAATTACATTTTTTGAGAAAGTCGATTAAAATTGTATTAAAAATAATTGAAATTCTGCAATGAGTTTCATTATTTATGAAAATAATTGAATTCATTAACAAATTTTTGTTATTTACGAAAATAATTGAATCCCTGTAAAAATTTTATTATTTATGAAAATAATTGAATGATTGCGGAAAAAATTTATAAAAAATTTGTAAATAATTGAAAATTCCTGTGAAATTTTTATTATTTTATGAAAATAAATTATAGCTTTGCGTAAAATTTTATTAAATTTTTTTAAAATAATTGAATTCTTTTGGACAATTTTATTAAAATAGTAAATATTGAAAAACATTAATTGTGAACATTTTTGAAAATAATTGAAATTTTGACAAGAATAATATTAAAATTTTTGAAAATAATTGAATTTTGGAGAATTTAATTATTTCTAAAGATAATTGAAATTTTGTCGAGAATATTTAAAAAATTTTGAAAATAATTGAATTTCGGAGAAGAATTTAATTATTTCTAAAGGTAATTGAAATTTCGTCGAGAATATTTAAAAATTTTTGAAAATAATTGAATTTCGGAGATGAATTTAATTATTTCTAAAGATAATTGAAATTTTGACAAGAATTTTTAAAACTTTTGGAAAATGATTGAATTTTGGAGAAGAATTCGATTAGTTTTGAAAGTAATTGAATTTCTGTAATCATTTGTAATTTCTTTAAAATTTTCCTAATTATATCGTACAATTTACGAATTTTTCGTCTTTTCTCAATAAAATTACGGACTTTACGGACATTTTTTTTAAACTGACTTTTACGGGCTTCAAGCAAATTTACGGACCTAGTTCGAGCTCTGTAAGAATAGAAAATTATGAAAAGCAATAATTAAATATTTTCATCTACCTTCGGGAATTCGAAGGATTTGGTCGCAGAAGCCAAAGTACCATCCGATTTCTTCGAAATTTTATACACTTCAATTGCATTGCCCAGCGCTTTGTGAATTAAGAAAGCTTTGCCATCAGGTGACCAACGAACCAAGGTAGCATGATCATATTCAATATTCACCCTCAATGATCTCTTATCCTTAGCTGATAGATCTTTCGTACACCATAGCAAAACCGTTCGATCTGAAAGAAAAATTAATTCTTTTTATTCTCTTCTTTAATTTTCAAATAAACTGAAAATATTTTTTGTCTCCTTTACCATTTAATTGAAAAAATAACTTTTCAGTATTTCCCAACTTTGTTTTCTATTTTTCAAGGAAGAGAAGAGGAAAAATAGGCAATAAACTCAAATAAAAATTTAGTATCAACTAAACAAAAGTTCAATTTATTAGTGTAAGATCCACTGGTATACAAATTTCTATAAATATATATACCTTAAAATGAAGAACAAATCAATTTGTAATTACAATACAGAATTTTTCAAATCAATAAATTGCCAAGGACGCTTGTTTTTTTGTTTTTTTTTGTTTTGTTATTATTATTGTCACCTAGCTCTATTTGGCGGTGGCATTAAATCAGCGTCATCTTGAAATTGATATTTTTGAATGAAGTCTAATAATTTCTCTTTAGTTACTGGATGAATAATCGATTGACACACTGCCATTGCAGTCTTATATGAATTTGGAAACGATTTATCCGTTCTCTCGCGCATAAAAATCCATTCATTATTCTCAAATTTACACTCAATTATTTTATTGTTCAATTCTTTCATTTGCTTATTAACTTTCATTCGTGCAAATTCAACACTATGTCCACCGACATAAAGTAGTCCAATTGTTCTTGGCAGAATGCCCAATCCTTCCTCCTTGGTGACTTTCAATTTAAAATCAACTGAATTCAATGAAAGTGGTTTCCATTTTAGCACTTCGGGACATGGTCCTGTTATGTAGGGCTCCTTGGCTGGTTGAAATATAAGACCATCGGGTTCATGAGACAATTGTTTTGCAAATTTTTCCCCAAGAATGTTCGCTGTCCAATTTAATTCATAGAAATTTTTACGACGCACTGAAAATGGCTCGCGATCCTTGTTCATTCGTCCCTCTTTGAAGGCGCGTATACGACCGGCAATTATGTCTCTCTCAATGATATTGTAGCGTACAGGATCGAATGGCTCTTTGCTCACGTCCTTACCGTCGTACATTATCACATCGTAGGCTAAATAACGCGGGTATTTTCTGCCGTCCGATTTGTCGACATCTATCACCATCTCCTGGAAAAGAAAATTTGTGAAAAAAAATTTACTTCGGTATTTAAAGTAGTTAAATTGAAATTTCATAAATTAATTTCAATTTGCATTAATTTTTTATAAAATTTATTTCTTTAAAGATTTGAATGTTTAAATGAACAGGCCTCTGATCGACTTCATGGCGCAAAAAAAATAGCTTTAATCGATTAAAAATAAAAAAAATCGTTTATTTAATTCAGTGTTGTCACAAAAATTTCATTTTGTATTTCCCTGATTTTCCTTTTCCACTGATTTCTAAATTTAATTATTCAAAACTTAAATAATTTTGTTAAATAAATATTTAAATACTTCTCATTTGTTTTTCCACGGGAAATAAAATTTAAAAAATTTCAATTTAAAACCTTCTGAAATTTATTAATTTCCAAAAATTTGCTACTATAACCAGGGTGTCTACTATTTTCGTTCAACAAAATTCTCGGCTTTGTCCTAATTTTTCCCGGTTTTTTTCCTCATCAAATTTTAATTTATTTGATTTCTAACATAAATAAATCTACTAATGACTTTCAAAATTTTTATTAGAGTTTTTATGAATAATTAAATTCTTTTGAGAAGTTTCATTAAATTTTTTGAACATATTTTTTAAATAATTTTAATTAAAAATTTGGAAAATAATTGAATTAAACAAAGAATTTTTTCAATTTTTTAAAATAGTTTTTAAAATGTTTTAATACTAATTGAATTTCTGCAAAGAATTTTACTATTTATAAAAGTAATTGAATCCTTGCAAAGAATGTTATTATGAAAATAATTGAATTGTGGAGAACAATTTAATTATTTATAAAGATAATTAAAATTTTGAGGAAAATTTAAAAAAATTTTAAACATAATTGAATTTCTGCGAAGGATTATATTACTTTTGAAAATAATTGAATTCTGTTTTAAAATTTTATGGAAATTTATGAAAGTAATTGAATTCTTGTGAAGAATTTTTTTTTAAAATAATATTCAAAAGAATTTAGTAAATTTGAAGAATTCTGCTATTTATGGAAATAATTGAATACTTGAGAAGAATTTTTTTACAGTTTCTAGAAATAATTGAAATCTTTTGACGAATTTTAATAAAATTTTTAAGAATAATTACATTTTTCGGGGAATTCGATTAAAATTGTATTAAAAATAATTGAAATTCTCTTTATAAAATTCAATTATTTATTAATTATTAGGTAAATTAAAATACTTTAACTAAAAACAATCAAATTAATTATTTTTAACTTATTCAAATTTAGAGAACAGTATAAATATTTATAAAAATTGAAATAAAAAGCGATTTTTTATAAACAAATTAAAATAATAAAACTTTTTTTAATTTGATGAAAAAATTACCGGTTTGTCATGAAATTCCTGGCTTATTCCCAGTTTTCCCCGGATTTCCCGGTTAGTAGACAATTAAATAATTGAATTTTAGAAGGGTTACTAACCCTTCTAAAATTCAATTATTTTCTCCAATTTTTAATTATTTCCAATTATTTAAAATACATACAAAAAATTCAAATTTCTGTAACTGCAACTGGTTTTCGTTCAAGTATTTTATTATAGTTTTGGAAAATCAACTTTTGAAGAATTTTAATTGCAAATTATGAAAGTAATTGAAAAAAATTGAATTTTAGAAAGTTAGAAGGAAAATAATATTCTAAGAATTAATTTTTTAAAAAATATTTAAATATAATTGTCCAAAGCTAATTTTTATTTTTAAATTTACATTTGAAGATTTTCCATTAACATTTTTGAGAATTCAATTATTTTCAAACTTTGCAATTAAAATTCTTTAAAAATTGTACTTATATACTTGAAAAACAAAAATTATTTTCAAAAAATTAAATTAGAAAAGTTATTCAAAAATCGAAATGAGTTGCATTTTATTCCAAAAAAATTTGTATTTTGTTGCAATATTTGAAAGAAAAGTCGAAAAAGTCGCATTTTCTAAAAATAAATCGAAAAACATCGACAAAGTTAATGACTTTTTCTGAGGCCTGTAAGTAATTAGATTGAAATTTCATGAATTAATTTTATTCTTAGAATTTATTTTTATAAAGTTTTGAACGTTTAAATAAACGAAATATTTATTTTTCGAACAAATATTTTTAAAAGTTACTGTATTTGAAATGAAGAATATAATGTAAATTAAATATTTATTTAGTTGGAAATTAATATTTCAAAGTATAAAAACCATTTTTCTGGTAAAATTGAAACTGACAATAAAAAATACCATCTTTTATTTAAACGTTCGAAATTTTAAATTAAAAAAAATAGAACAAAAGAAATTATTGCTCGAATTAAAATCTAAATATTGTAACAAGAAATAAAAAATTTACCCCATCGAGTAAAGTATCACGAAGCATTCTCTTCGGGTCCCTCGGATGAGGGAAACGCAGTCCAGAAACCTCGAAAATACTAAAATTTCGATCAGCGAAATAAACTTGACCATCACCTTGAATTAACATCAAGTATCTGAACAGAAAACGAAAATTGATGATTAAATATTCATTTTTTTAGGAACATTTTTATATACATTTTTAATTAATTTATTGTATTATTTTAATAATTTATTTACTTTTTTATTTAATTAATTTATTGCTTTATGCAATTTAGTCGAAGTGATCAATGAATCGTTAATTTAAAATAACGAAATAAATGAAAAAATAAGTAAATTACATAATTATCCAAGAATCAGTGAACAATTCCCGAAAAAAAGTAAATTACTTGTCAGTTAATGACAATTAATTAACGGGTCTAAAAGATTTATTATAATTTTTTTAAAAATTTTTATTACCATTGGACTAGGAAATAAGAACATAATTATTTATTTGTGCAATGTTTCACCTACTTTCATGATTAAACTCTATGCATTCACAAAGTAACATGCCTTGACTTTCACTTTGAATAATTCGGAGAAAGAAAAAACTGCAGAACTATAAAAAAAAAAACGGAAAAAAAATCTCGAAGATTATCGAACTGGTAAACCAGCTTTCACTACGAAAAAAAGTATATTAAAAATGTTCTACAACTGTAACTGGTTTTGCTTTCAAATTTATTTTCGTTAATGAGACAACAAAAAGTCATTTACTTTTTTTTTTTTTGACTTGGATTGCACTTGACATTAATATTTAACTTTCTTTAGTGAATATTTAGAATCAAAAGAGATCAAAAAGATGAATCATTTGTAATTTTTAAGTTATTTTGAAGTTTTGAAATTTGAAATAGTAAATTGTGGTTTTTACCTGGTTCCGTCAGCTTTCCAAGACATTCGATAGGGCTTTCTGTTTAGCATTGAAATATTATCAACATCCATGGAGACTGGTTGACATCCTGGAAATCCAGAATCTGTCCAACCGCAAATATCCTGAATGTGCCTCTGTATTCCGCTGACAATTTGAAAATTCATTATTGGCGTGACACCGGGAACGCCGTCCATGAAAACGGGATTTTTATGAAAATGTTCCCTTTTTCTTTTTCTATCAGATGATGGTACACCACTATCCTCATAATTCGATTGACTTGCTTCGCCAATTTCGTCGTCATCATTATCAATATTATTCTCTAAACACCATGAGGGTTTTGGCGGTGCCGCTGGACAGTCTTCAATATCGTCATACTTTCTGTACAATTCTTGTATGTAATCATATTTATAAATACCTGGCGGTCTTGCCGTTGCAAATTCAGCTAAAGCAGCGTCAACACTCATTCCAAATTCTTCAACTAAATAACTTATTATTAGAAAACCAGTGCGATTAAATCCATGAGTACAATGAATACCAATCATTTCCAATGGATTTGTTTGAATGAATTTTCGGCAAATTTCCACAAATGCCTTTGTCGTTGGCTCATTGGGAGTTTCACCACGTCCCTTACAGGGAATTTTTAAATATCTACAACCAGTTTCTTCGACTTCTGTTCTATCATAAAATCTCTTTGTATTTGTTAAATCAATCCAAAGGCCCATTTTAATTTTTTGACTCTTCATCGAATCAAATAGCATTTTCACGGAAAATCGACATTCCTCCGGTACTTGACTATCAAATCCAGAACACAGCGGTGTTTTGAATGCACAAAATTTATTCTGTATTATAACAAGTGACTTTCGTGGGCAATGTAACCAACGATCGGGAACAGGACCATAACCAGTTTTTCTCGACATTTTTTTATTAAAAATAAAACTCAATCAATAGAATTAAATTTAATCAAAAAATTTCACTTAATGTCGTGGAAATTATCTATTATATTACAAATTGTCGAAGCAGAATGAACATAACCTCTTGTTTCACTGTGTTCACTGCTGTTACAATTGAAAAAATAGATGGAAGCCTTTCTTTTTATGGAAAAATTCTTGTTTACACCATTGAGTATTAGAACTTTTTTATTAGTAACTAATTAAACTTACGAATAATGCCAATAAAATCAAATAACTATGACATTATACATTGAACGTCAAAAACTTACAACTAGATAACTAGTTGATGTTAAGTTTATTCGTATTAACTCCCGATACACATTTGTATTTCTCTCTTTATTTTTTTCTTGAGAAAGAAAAAGATGGATGAACAAGCAGACGATGTGAAAAATTATCACGAATAGACTCTAGTTTGACAGGCGGCCATCTTTGTATTGATGCGCGCGCAACTTGACGCACACACGCAACTGACAGGCGTGCCAACTTTCGATATATCGAACTTGTTTCGATTTATTTTCAAATTCAAACGAAATGCGGTAAAAGAAGTTTTTCAATTTTCGGAAACAAAGCATTTTTTTTGTATAAAATAAATATGATAATATGTAAATAAACATAATGTAATTAAAAATATATACATTAATAAAATATGTTAAATAAATAAAATAAAAAAAAAATATTAAACAATAAAATAAATAATTAAAATAAATTACCAAATTAAAGTAAATAAAAAAAAATAAAAGTAAGAAATGTTTTTAATTCAAATTAGTTAATTAATTAAAAACATTAATTAATAGTCAAGTTATAAATGATTGCAGAAATTCTATCATTTTCAAAAGTAATAAAATTGTTTAAAAAATTTCAATTATTCTTAAAAGTAATAAAATTATTCTCCGAAATTCAATTATTTTAAAAAATTTTAATAAAATTCGTTGCAAGGATTCAATTATTTTCATAAATAGTAAAAATCACAGAATTTCAATTATTTTTAATAGAATTTTAAAAGAATTCTGGAAAAAAATGCAATTATTCTTAAAAATCTTGTTAACATTCTTCGAAAGAATTCGATAATTTAAGAAAAATTTGATATAATTTATTTATTAGAATTTAATAATTATTTTCAATACATTTTTAATTAAATGTTTCCAAAGAATTTAGTTATTTTAAAATTTTTTAATGAAATTCTTCCTAAGAATTAAATTATTTTCAAAAAATTTTTCGTAGAACTTTAATTACTGTCAAAGATTTTTCGAATTTCAATTATTTTTAAATTTCTACAGTAGGTATCAATAAAATTTATCAAAAAATTCAATAATTTAAAAATTTTTTAAATAAAATTCGTCGCAAAAATTCAATTATTTTCATAATTTATTAAATTTTTCGGGAAAATTCAATTATTTTTAAAAACTCTTATAAAAATGTTTGGTGAAATTAAATTATTTTCAAAAATTTTAATAAAATTCTAGTCAAAATACCAATTATTTTCAAAAATTTTCCTCAATTTAATGATTTTCAATATCTACAATTTTAGTAAATTTTTCCAAAAAATTCAATTATTTAAAAAATTTTCCTCAATTTAATGATTTTCAATATCTATTATTTTAGTAAATTTTTCTAAAGAATTCAATTCTTTAAAAAAAGATTTTTTTTGATAAAATTCTACGCAAAAATTTAATTATTTTTATTAATAATAACATTTTCACAGTAATTCAATTATTTATAAATTTCATCTCAATAATTCCATTATTTTCATAAATAATAATTTTTCTACAGAGATTCAATTATTTTGAAAAATGTAATTATTCTTAAAAATTTTATTAAAATTCGTCGAAAGAATTTAATTATTTAAAATTTTTTTCATAGAATGATTTATGAGAATTCAATTTTAAGAAACATTTAATAATTAAATAAATTTTTTATTTTGTATTTATATAATTGAATTCTCGTAAAATCTTCTAATAAAAATTGAGTTTAAAAATTAATTATTTCGGTTCAAATTTTTTATAATAATTGAATATTAAAATTATTATAGCTTGAATTTTTACAAATATTTGAATTTTGAAAAGATTTCAAATTGAAATCTCTTTGAAAATGTAAATTTTTCATTTAACTAACAATTCTGTAGAATTAATTTTTTTAAAAAAGTTTAATTGATTTTTTTAAAAATTATTTGAAGTTTTTATTTTCTAATATATATTATTTAATTGAAGAATTTCCAAATAATTGAAATTTCGTAAAAATTTAATTGTAAACAAATGTAAGTATTTAAAAATTCTCAAAGAACTTTTTTCCAAAAATTATTAAAAATAATTTATTTAAAGAAGAATTTTAGTTAAAAGTTCTAGAAAATATTGAATATTCTTTAGGCTCAGGAATAAAGTTTGAATTTTCGTCTGGACATAAGGGAAAAGTCAGGAAAAAAAAAGAAAATTAAATTTTTGTGGCAAACCTGATTTAATAAAAAAATTTTAAATAGTAAATAAAAATTATTCAATAATAAATAATTTGCAAAACGCTTAAAAAACTGCAATTTTAATTTATTTGACATTTATTTCATTTGGAATCTATTTTCACAAAGAATTTATTATTTACAAAAAGAATTAAAATAATAAATAAAAATCGCATTATTAATTTTTTCTATAGAGTCTATTTTAATGAAGAATTTATTATTTAGAAAAGAATTTAAATAGTAAAGTAAAATCGCAGTCGTAAAATAATTTTCATTTTTATAGAAAATCTTCTTTTTTAAAGAGTGTAGATTTATTTCATTTGCTTAATGCCAATGCGCGCAAACTTAAACATTACAAATATATTAAATTAAAAAAATATTAACGCAGAATTGAAAAAAGGTCAGGAGTAAAAGTAAATCTTCCCATTGTCAATCATTTGGCATTTTATGAGTTTTTCAGTTTTTTATGCACACGCATGTAGATTTAAGTGCATCTTTACATTTTCTAAAAGGACGACGTTTATAAGTGAAATCTTACGTAAGAGTCAAATCATTTGTAAATGTACAAACAGAAAATATATTGGAAAAAAATTATTAATAAAAAAAATTAAAAGTCCATTTGAATATATCATATAATAATATTGTAAAGTCATATAAACAAAATTATTACATATTTATCAAATATAAATGTCTGCGCGCAATTTAAAATTTTTTATGTAATTTTTAATTAATTTCATTTTTGTTTATTTTTTTGAATTAAAAAATAAAAATAGGTATTTGATAAAAAATGAAAATTACGTGATAAATGTAACAACATTTTTTCTTATTAACCCAGTTTTTCTTTTAAATAAAACACGCATATATTCCACACTTTGTCCCACTAAACTGAAATTGTTTTATCAATAAGGAAGCTTTTATAAGTTAAATATTTTCATGTATAAAAAAAACATTAAAGTTTTTTTTTGTTTGATTTTTTTATTAACACAGTTTTTATTTTATGGTTAAAAATAATTTTTCTGTGTGGTCAAAGTATATTGATAACAAAATAAAAAATGACATTTTATTTGTTATAAATATTATAAAATGATTGTTTTATAAATAATAAAAGACTTAAATAGATAATAAAAAACTAAAATAATGAAATATTATTGCAATGATAATAATAATAAAAATAATAAAAATATTAATAATAATAATAATAATAATAATAATAATAATAATAATAATAATAGTAAATTTCAAAAAATGAAATTGAATTAATTTCGGAGTAAGTATTTAAATATTTTAGAGGTAAGAGAAAGATTTGTTTGTTTAAAAAATTTTATTCTGAATAAATCTGGTTGTTAAACTGAGACAACAGTACCTTTGTCGAAAGTAAATCCTTTTAATTAATTAAATTTTATTGAAAAAAATCTTTTTCCCAGAGTATATCTCACACATAAAACATTCACTCGCAGAGAACAGTTTCCTATTGAAAATTGAAATCGCTTTTAATTAAATCACATTATAGAAAAAACTTATTCTGAGAATATGTCGCAGAGAGAAGATTCTTTGAAAATTAATTTTCTCAAAGTTCACTTTCAATTATTTATTTATTTAATTGAAATTTAGCTGTAATAGAAATAAATTTCCAATTTCAGCTCTAATTGAAAATAGATTTTTATTAATTCCAATCTCAATTTACTTCTTTTTGGAAAAAAATCATAATTTATTATAATAATGTTTATTTACTATAATAATAATTATAATAATCTACTATGTATAATCAAATAATAATTCTATAATTTATTTGTAATTACAATAATAATTTATTATAATAATTGAAATAATACTTTATTACAATTAAAATAATAGGTTATTGTAAATTATATTGTAAATTATATTGAAAATTATAAATTAGTTATAATAAATTATAATTATTATGATTTCTACATTTTCTCCTCAATATTGTTAAAGAAAAATGTTCAATCAATAGCAATTCAAAGAAAAATCCAGAGATGAAAAAATTAAAATTAATTAAGTAGGTTAAAATAAATATATAATTAAAAGCAATCGTTTATTTTCTTCATCATTTATTGAAATAAAATCCATTTTCGAGTAGCAATAGAAATAAATTTCCAATTTCAGCTCTGATTGAAATGAAATTTACTTAATTCAATATCAATTTCAAAGAAATTACATCGCTTCTTTTTGAAAAAAAAAATAATTCTAATTTATTATAATTGTAATTGACTAGGTTATAATAATAATTATAATAAATTCTAATAATTATAATTTCTTCAATTTCTCTTCAGGAAAAAAAGAAAAAAAAATTTCTCATCAAAGAGGAAAATCAGGGTTACCACAAGTCAGGGAAATCAGGGAATTCAGGGAAAAGTCAGGAAAAGTAGAATTGGTCAGGGAAGTGAGGGAAAAGTCAGGGATTTTTATTAAAATTACTGGAAAAAATTAAATGTTTACACGGAAAGAGAATCTTTATTCAATTTTGTAAAAGTATTTTACAAACTGTGGAAAAAGTGCGACAAACCGAAATTTTGATATAAAAAATACTAAATTTTAAAAAAAATTATGTGAAATTAATTTAAAAAATTAATTAAATTCTAATATAACTTTACTAAATTTTACATCAGTTTTTTTAAAGTTTAGTATTTTTTATATCAAAATTTCGCTTTGTCGCACTTTTTCCCCAATTTCTAAAATACTTTTACAAAATTTAATATATATTCTCTCTCCGTGTATAGAATTTATAAGAAAATTCTGAATTTATAAAAAAAACTTAATTTTCTTCTATTTCTAACAATAATTTTTTTTAGAAATTCAATTATTTTTAAAAATTTAAAAAAAAATTCTCGTAAAA